ATTTTTAAAAAAATGTTGTTCATAAAACATTTTATTCATAAAAGAATCATAAAAAGCCACAAAAACATTAAGCAGCAAAAACTCTCACCATTGAAAATAACAAGAACCATTAATAACTGAGCATTAATAATTGATAATAATTGAGTACCAAATCAGCTTATTAGAATTAATTTTGAAGGATCATGTGACAGAAGAGAAGACTGGATTAATGGCTGCTGAAACTAGGGAATAAATTACATTTTAAAATATATTCAAATAAAAAAAACTCAATTTTTTTAGTGTGATAATATTTCACAATATTATTGTTTTTACTGTATTTTAGATCAAATAAATGCAGCCTTGGTGTGCATAAGAGACTTCTTTCAAACACATACAAAAATCATAAATATTCCAAACCTTTGATTAATTGGAAATATTTGAGTAGAAAAATGGGGAGTAGAATTGGGACACATTACAGGCCAAACCTTAACCTGCGTTGCCCACATGAGCACCACACTCAATGTGGCCGCACCGTGGCTCTGACATCCTATGCTATGAGTCCAATCAAGGCTCCGTGATGCTGCATAGATCCCTTATACTATAGGTTGCTGACTATTTTGACCTCCTGTGATGTAGTTGGTACGAAGAGGAAGTCAGGTGTTGAGGGAATGAGGTCGGTATGTCTGCAAGGTGCTAACCGATTACTGGTGTGATTGTGCACAGGAGCCTGTGGCCCCTGGCCATCCTCGTTGAGCACAATGTTCAGGGTTGGAACATCGCGCATTTGGCCATTCATTCTCTAATTAGGGTCTAAATCAGAGCCTGTGCTCCTGCCTAATGAATCTTAGACAGAGAGCTGAGAGACAGGGATAGCAGGCTTGGAATGAGGTGGCGAGAAGGACACAGTTCCCAGCATCCCATCTGAGGTCCTTGCCACGAAAGTGTATTAATGACTGGCTTTTCAAACGCTGCACAGATGGCTTTGAGATTGTGTGTGTTTGTTTCAGTTTGGGTGTGTCGCATGATGCAACTTTGGTCGCTTAAGTGTAAAAGAGTAAATGTGAGTGTGTATTATGGATGCACAGTGAAGCCATTTGTATTATGTATGAGATTCGGATGTGGGTGAGGCTTAAACCGGAAGTGTGTCCAAACTAACTGAAACGTCCAATTTTACGTTAATGAAACGTCAATCTTTTACATTTTTAAAAGAGAAAGAAATCAGCCTCAT